AGAAAGAAGAAGAAGGGAAGAATAAAATAAAAAATGTAAAATGTGGAAGGGAGGAGGAAAGAAAGAGAGAGAGAGAGAGAGAGAGCGTATACGCAAGAAAGCGTGGCTCGATATTAATAAACGGAGCCGAGCAGCGAAGATAATCCGTCGATGCGTCATCCTCGACGCAAAAACAAAAGACGGGCTGAAAGAGGCGTGCGAGTAGTATATATCCGCGTATGGTAGAAACGGGCCGCGTTACCACGGCCGCCCCGTTGGATAAACGAAAGAATGGAATAAAGAGCGAGGTAATTAATCCGATAAAACGGAACACACTTTGTGTAACGTTGCATAATGCGAATTCCATAATCACGGAGATGCGCCGCGGAACCCGTTGTTCTTTCCCTCCTTTCCCTCGTAATACGACTGTACGTGATAGCGGTGATTGCAGCGGACGCGTGTCGTCCGCCATTTACGGAGGGCACACACCACCATTATATCTCTTTTCCACGAGGAGAGAGAAAGTCCTTGCGCTCTTGCATCCTTATACGATCGTTGTATCTTCGTTTATATAGCAAGAGAGAAAGAGGTTCTTTTTCCATCCACGATGCGATTCAGAAAAGCTTCCTTCGATTCGTCCGCTTTTCCTTTTTCTTTTCCCTCTCTCCTTTCCGTTCCTTTCTTCCCTTCGTCACCGCCGCGTTTCAAGTTCCATCGATACGCTCATTCTTCCAATATATAATCGAAAATATAGCCGCGTCCAAGGGGGCGGACGAGACGAGAACGGGGAGGGAGAGGGAGAGAGAGAGAGAGAGATGCATCGGAGACGGAGCAAAGTTTTTTTAACGCGCAGAGAAGGGCAGGGAGATTGGACATCGCAGATACAGCGTGGAACACTTCGTAAATCATTCGCGCGCGGACGTGCATCCGACCTGCATAACAGCCGTTGAACTTGCGAAGCTCGAACCGGACGTATCTGGCCATGCGTGACCGGGAGTAACGTGGTCGTGTTAGAAAGCGCGTGTACACGATCCGATTCGATGCGATGATCGTTCCTTCTGCAAGTTGTTGTTGTTGTTGTTGTTGTTGCTTTCGAACGCGCCCGCGAAACGGGGCGAGGATTCTTTCATCTTCCCCTGTCGATCGATCCAAATCCTCGTGAAAACTCGTCGAACGATTCTTAATTAGAATTTCCAGGCCAGGCAAGGTCTGGTAACGTTTCCCACTTTGCCCGGGTACCGATCTCGGGCTGAAATTTTACGAGCGTGACGAATCGAATACCACACACTCGTTGCTTGTAACACGGGCTCGCGCCGTACGTGTTAAGAATATGACCACGCTTCCGTTACTGATCTAATATACCGGGTCGTTAACGCTGAAAAATTAATAGGATTACGCGTACGCCTTTTTTGCCATTACGTTTTCCCTCCTCCTCCTCCTCTATCCCCCTCCCTTCCCGCTCCTAGAGCGGAAGAGAGAGAGTGTGTGTGTGTGTGTGTGTGTGTGTGTGTGTGTTGTAGCGGAGAGAGGAGATTGAACCGCGATGTTGTTCGTTTTAGGAAATGATCTCGGAGATATATCAGCGTATGTATATATATATATATATATATATACACGCGTATATATATTCATCAACGTATCATAAATCGTGTGTAAATTAAGGGAGTAGGCGAAGTAAGTGTTTTTTTTTAATTAGCGACTCCTCCTCCCCCCTCCTCTCCTCCCCCCTCCCCCCTGTGCCCCCCCCTTCCCCCCAGCCCGGGGCGATCTCCCGTTACCGAGCCACGACGAGCACGCAAAAAGTAAAAACGGACGCTTGTTACTTTTCACGAGCACGCATCGATAAAGGTTCGTTCGACTTGTCTGATTCCAGATACTGGCGCGCCCTACGTATTATACAAGGACAACATGGAGAGACCCCAGGGGCAATGGGGCCCCGGGCCGGGATCTCTCCAGGACGGGGGGCTGTACCCGCAGCAACAGCAACAACAGCAACAGCAGGGCTCCTCCTCGTCCGGCAGCCCACAGCAGGCCTGTGGTCCCCCTGTCGAGGGAGAAAGCGGTCCCCCGCCTTCGTTGGCCTCTCCCGTGCCCTCACCGTACCCCTCGGCACCGCCTGAGCCTCAAGCCTTAACCCCACCCGACGACGATATACAATCGAATCAAGCCACCTCTCAACAACAGCAGCAGCAACAACAGCAACAACAGCAACAGACGCAGCAACAAGTGCAGCAGCAGCAGCAGCAGCAACAACAACAACAACAGCAGCAGCAGCAGCAGCAGCAGCAGCAGCAGCAAGTTCAACAGCAACAGCAGCAGCAACAACAGCAACAGACGCAACAGCAGGACCACTCGCCCCAACAACAATTGACCCCTCACGAGGTGGATCGCACGGATTGTTTCCCCGGGGCGGGAGAGCTGCAGCAGTATCCACAGCACTACTTCAAGGATGCGAGGCCGCATCCGTCGCCGTCGGTGCCACCGCACATGCTGACCCCGGGTGGTTTTTCCGCGTTGCACTATCTGAAGCAGCCGGGCGTGATGCTGACGTCCCTCGGGCAGGGGGACGGTGGACCGAGCCTGGACGCGCACCAATACGCGAGCCCCGGGGCGCCGAACATGGCGACCGGGCTGCCGGACATTGTCCAGCAGAGCGGCAAGTCTGGGAAAGGGGCGAACAGCGATCTACGTTTGTTCAAGTGTTTGACGTGCGGGAAAGATTTTAAGCAGAAGTCGACGTTGTTGCAACACGAGCGGATCCATACGGACAGTCGGCCATACGGGTGTCCAGAGTGCGGGAAGCGGTTCAGGCAACAATCGCATCTAACGCAGCACCTGCGCATACACGCGAACGAGAAGCCGTATGCTTGCGTGTACTGCGAGCGTACGTTCCGGCAGCGTGCCATCCTCAACCAGCATCTGCGCATCCACTCGGGTGAGAAGCCATACCAATGTCCGGAGTGCGGAAAACACTTCCGTCAGAAGGCGATCCTGAATCAGCACGTCCGCACACACCAAGGCGAGCATTTCTCTCTGCCTCCCAGACTCCCAGAGGGCGTCCACCACAACCACACTGACCCATTCACCGGTTCTTAATGTTACTATCACCACCGCCACCACCACCACCACCACCGCCGCCACCATCGTCTCTTCATCTCTTCTTCTTCTTCTTCTTCACAGTTCTTCTTCGTCTTTATATTAATTAACTTATATTACGCATATGAATATATATATTGCATATATATATTATCTATATAATTTTTTAACGATGTTGTCGCATATCATATTACGCCATCACCATCTTCTCACTCTCGTCATCGTTCGTTCGTTCGTTCGTTCCTTTGTTCGTTCGTTCGTTCGTTCGTTCGTTCGTTCGTTCTTCTTCTCCGTTATTATTAAACCGTTCTCTTTTCCACCGTTCGTTCGATCGCCATTTCTCTTAACTAACCCAGTCACCTTTGTACGTTTATTTTTTTTTTTTTCCTCCCCCATTCGTTTGGCGTTATTCGATCCATCTGGTTTCTCCACCGCTTACCCCTTCCTCCTCCTTTCCACCTCCCCCCATGTGTCGGTTCCCAGCGGACAAACGCGATCGCGTACGTTTGCTCGTTTCGCAGTTTTCCTGGTCGTGAATTTCGTCGAGTAAAATCGATCGAAACGAATCGGCCTCGTTGCCGCCAAAGGCCAACCGAAGAATCAGAACGGTTGAGCTGGACGCGAGAGTGCTGGTGAGCTGTGAGATAGAGGAGCCTCTCCTCCCATCCCCTATCCCTCCTCTCCCCCTAACAAGTCTACTCCCCCGCATTGTGTCCATTGACCGCCTAATCTAATCCGCGTGTGTGTATATATATATATATATCATATACATATTATATATATATATATATATATACTTCTTTTGCCCTCTGCAAGTTCGTTCTCTCTTCGAAAATTGACCACGAAGGAATTTTTAACAAGTATGGAATAATTATAATTAATAATAATGATGATAATAATAATGATGATGATGATAATAATAATAATAATAATAATAATAATAATAATACTAGTAACAACAAAACCTCTCGCGTCTGTTTATAACATAACACCATCTAACTATCTCTTTGGCTGGAAAACTCCCTGCTGTAGAAAAAAAAAAAAAAAAAGAAAGAAAAAAAGAGGAAAAAAGAGAATGCGTCTTTTCGCGAAGGTGGAGGAGGTGGAACCTAGGACCCTAGGAAATCGATCCGATCCGATCGTGATCCGATGCTTGATGCTAACTTTCGCGACTCGATCGAAGGAAGAAAAGGGAAAAACCGTTGTTTTTTTTTTTAAATTTGCGCGGATTCGAGGTTCGTTGCACGCTGTGTGGCGCCGTGCTTACTACTACTTAACTACTACTGCTGCTACTACTACTACTACTACTACTACTACTACTACTACTACTACTACTACTACCACTTATTCGATACGATCGCACCGATCGATCGACGAGATGATTCGTTCCTTTTTAACACATGGGCGCTCGCGATAGATAATCTGTCTCTGTCTAGTCTCTTCAGTGGCCGCGTGGTACGTACGTGCGTGCGTGCGTGCGTACGTACGCGCGCGCGCGCGCGTGATCTCTAACGAAACGGAAGAAAAAGAAGAAAAAAAGAAAAGAAAAAAAAAAAAAAAAAGAAAAGATTCCTCCGACGTGTACGAAAGGGGTAAGCAGGAGAAGTTGGAGGATAAACTTGGTTCTCGTGTCTGTTACAGACGTGAGTCCGCATCTAATCTTCAAGAATGGGATGACGCCGACACTCTGGCCCCAGGACGTTCCGTTCCCGCAGGAGGAGGGGAAGGAGGAGGTGGGATCGACGTTCGGCGACACGGACACGCAGTCGGGCGCGTTCAGCCCGGCGCCGGACGCGAACTCGATCCAGTATCCCGCCTACTTCAAGGACCCGAAGGGCGGGAATCACGCGGTTTTCGGCGCGGGCGGGACGGGCAGCTTCGGCGCCCTCCAATACATCAAGCAGCAAGGCGGTAGCAAGAGCTGTTTGCCGGACGTGATACAGCACGGCCGCTCCGCGGGGATGCCGCTCTACGTTCGATGCCCGATCTGTCAGAAGGAGTTCAAGCAAAAGTCCACGTTGTTGCAACACGGGTGCATACACATCGAGTCGAGACCGTATCCGTGCCCCGAGTGCGGCAAGAGGTTCAGGCAACAGTCCCACTTGACCCAACACCTTCGCATCCACACCAACGAAAAGCCGTACGGGTGCGTGTACTGCGGCCGCAACTTCCGCCAGCGCACCATCTTGAATCAACATTTGCGCATCCACACCGGCGAGAAACCGTACAAGTGTCAACAGTGCGGCAAGGATTTCCGCCAGAAGGCGATACTGGACCAGCACACGCGCACCCACCAGGGCGATCGGCCGTTCTGCTGCCCGATGCCCAACTGCAGGCGGCGTTTCGCCACCGAGCCCGAGGTGAAGAAGCACATCGACAACCACATGAACCCGCACGCGGCCAAGGTGCGCAGGAACTCGAGCAGCGACTCGAAACCGCCTGGCACGCCGGCCGGCCTGGGCCCCGTCCCCGTCCCCAGGGGGTTGACGCCGACCGTGGTCAAGCCGGAGCTCTACTTCCCCCAATGTTACGCGCCCGCGTTTAATCACCAACCCCCGGTGTCGACGGCGCAGTTCCCGGCCCAGGCGAACGGGGTGTCCGTTGCCGGCGAGTTCAAACCACCGACCGGCCTGCCGCCGCAGTGACTAACCGTCCATCCTGCCGCCTACTAGCAAGCAGGAATACCGCTGAGATTTCAGCGATGCTTCGGTCACGCGTTACAGAGCGACGCCGCCGCCGCCGCCGCCGCGGCAGCCGCAGCAGCAGCAGCAACCGCCGCAACGACGTCGTCCAGTGCCGCGACGCACCGATGCACCCAGCCGATCCAGCAACACTACAACAACCCGTGACATTTATCGTGCATTTACTACCCTCTTTCTTTTCGTTTCAAGGTTCGCTTCGTTTCCCCGTTCCATTGGTTCGCACAGCCTCGGAACGCGTCGCCAGCTAGTCATCAGCTCGACGATGATCGACACACCGACTTATATATATATATATATATATATACGTACATACATACTACGTTTCGACCGCGGTGTCCTCCTCTATATATATATATATATATATAGAGTTCGATTCGTCGTTGAACGGGTATTGTGCGCGCGTGTATGACACGTTGACGCACGTTCATCGTTGAACGCGTTCAACTCTTATTATACCGATAGATCGTCGTCCGACCAGTGTGTCTACTTGTGCGGCACCTCTCGATCGTGACCCAACGCATTCGCACAAGCTCGCCCAGAGAGAAACACCTCCTCCGCAATATCGCGATACTTGTTGATACTTATTTTCGATCGTCATCCATCGTTCGGCCGACGAATGCGCCATACAACGTTCGTTCGTGTATCTGTCGTTGATTCTGCTCTCCTCTGCTCGATCGTGTTTCAGAGTGAGCGAGCGAGTGAGCGAGGGAGTGAGTGAGCGAGTGAGAGAAAGAGGGAAGCAAGAAATATGGAAATACAAGGGAGCGTGGTAACTGACACGCGCCAAGTCACGAACGGAGCGAGCTACGCGATTGCAAATGGGTTTCGGGAGGGACAGAGGTCGGAGCAGAAAGACGAGGGAGTCGTTGTGTCGTTCACCGTCGAGCTGATCGCTGGCGCCAGAAAAATGGTGACTCAACCAACGAAGAATCTCGTCTATTCCCCCATACGTATTTTTTATATATTAATGAATTAACGACGTACCTTCTCGCGTTTTTTTCGTGGATGAAGCGAATAGCTCGAGAGAGTTCGGTGGTTCCGCGCGCGCAAGGCAGGCAGGCCGTCCGAGGTGTCGTTCGTCACACACCGCTGCTCACACAGAGAAACACGTGTATACGAGTATACACACGAGAGATATACGTACAAGAGTGCGCACACACGATACACAGTCACACCAACACATGCACACGTCGTACGTCGTAGCGACAAACTCGTATATATATTCGGGACGTGTTTCGTCAAAACGCTCGTACACACGGGTTCGAAGATGTTCGATTCGACGACCAGATTAGAAGCAAAACGTAACAAAACAAAAAAAAAAAAAAAAAAAAAAAACAAAAATTGATAACGATTGTGATACGATATCTAACTTGCCTATGTTTAATTGAAACAAAAGAAGGAGAAAGGAGAAGAAACAAAAAGAAAGAGAAAGAAAAAGGGGGAAAAGAAGAAAGAGAAAAAGAGAAAGAGATATATCGTGATGGGAGGAAGATACGTACGCCTCGAGAGGGAGGTGAATACACGACCACGAGAAGAATGCCTGTAAATATGTAAAGCCGTTCACTCCGACGAACAAACAAAACCGAGTGGAGGAGAAAAAAAAAAAAATGTTGAAATGGCGCGAAAAAGAGCGAGCAAGAGAGTGCGTGTTTGGTCGCATGGATACTGCGTGGATTCTCGTGTGTGAATGAGAAAATGGAAACGGACAGAGAGAGAGAGAGAGAGAGAGAGAGAGAGAGAGTAGTGAGAGTCGCGCG